AATGCAATTCATCCTGTCAACTTTGGTCGGAAATCGCTAACGTGGATGTCAGACGTCCTAAGTACATGGCATGGACTAGGACGATCGACCCTGATGTTATTTTTTTTCCTTCTTCCTTTGCTGGTGATGACGACCTGGCAAGGGTCGCCCTCGCTAGACTCGTCGGGATTTGGCAAGGGGGACCTTGCCAGCTTAGGGTGAGGCTTAACCTCATTGGAATCTTGTGAAGTGAGCCTTGTTAGAGGCCAACGAGGGCGCCCTCACCGGTCGTTGAGCCTCAGGTACTGGTGACCACGTAGGAGAAAGAATGAAAAAAAAAACGAAGAAGAAAATAAAAATATAAAAAAATATATTATTAAAAATTATCCACGTTAGTGCCCGCGTTTACGTCAGCGATTTCCAATCAAAATTGGCCAGATGGACTATATTGACAAATTATCAAAAAAGGTTTAAGATAAAATCGACCAAATTAAAATATACAGAACTGAATTAAAATAAATACGATAAATTTAGAATTTTTTTGGTAATTTTTCCCGCTAACTCTCAATCAACTCTACGCAAATTAGTCATCATTTTTAAAACCCTCTTTTCGAGACTTCCAAGTTAAGCTATCTCTCGCTCCCCTCTCTTTGGCTTCACGTCATATCTCAACTCCCAATCGGAGATAATCGATAGTTCCCAACCACACATAATCCGCATCAACAAACTTATGGAAACAAATTGTTGGGGCTAGAATGGAAATTGCTTCACTACTGGGATGCAAATTAAGATGTAATTAATTTTATGTTTTGCAAAAGGAAAATAAAAGCTCATTCAGAGCAGCGATTGCCGGCATAAAAATTCTACCAAAAAAATCGTACCAACCTACCCAAAAAATAAAAATAAAATTTAAAGCGAATGAATGGTGATTAGCCAAAGACATGTCGTTCTCTAATATTCGCAATTTCGGGACTAATTTGTACACAAAGACATGTCGTTCTCTCTTGTCGGCTCGACTCCATCAAATTCAACGGCAGGCGCCCACTTTTTTCGGTCCATCTAGAATTTGCAAATGGTAAAATTGACCCAAGGAAACATTATTTTCGCCTTTGAAATTTCTAAAAGGCGAGTACGTGGATAATTAAATGTTTTACATATAAAATAATAAAAAGGAAAAGGGATCTCGCCGGTCGAAATTCATCGTTTTCATTTGGGAAAAAGGAAGAGTCAAAAACAGGCATATGTCGGTGAGGAGGATTTTCCCTGAATTCAATAATTATAGGTGACGACCGGAGACATTAATAATTTAATGGGAGACAAAGACGGTGCATGTTGTTTCATAGTTCCTCCCAATGGCTTTTCCCACGAAGCAATTATATAAAATGTTGGAAAGGAAACACAAAGTCAGCTTCGTGATTAGTGGCATGCCCACCCGCCACTTTCATCTTTGGCTGTGTAATGCGACAAATACTAAGGAGAATGGTTTCAGCGTAGAATCAAAAATCTGAAAACCAGACAATTCCAGGTTTATGGGTAGGTTTCTAGAACCTCAAACTTCATTAGATGTGATAATTCACAACAATTGTTCAATTAAAAGTACATATGAAATTTGGGTAAACCTTGGAATTTATGACAAGGTAGGTTTCAAGTTCTTAGGTATGCAGAATAGGTTCTTGCTTCCAAAAATTAGAGAACCTGTTCCGACAGATAGGGTCCAAGTTCCAAATAAGATTTGGACGAAATTTAGAACCGCTCATCCCTAATAAATACTATAGTATTTTAATGGTCACTGATCGATTAATGACGTCATATCTCCAAATACTTTGCCTACTATAAGCTTGTTAGCGACGGAAGAAGAGTTTGTATGATCAATAATTGTTATCGCCCGTTTGTTTTTATGATAAAACCCACGTTACGTGGGGTAAAGTATAATCCATTGAATCAGAGAAGATGGGATTCATAATCCATTGAATTAATGACTCTATTTAAATTGTTTTTTTTTTAAAATCGATTAGAATGCCATTATGGTGCGACCCCGTTTAATGCGCAATCCCTTTGTCGGCGGGATTCTTTGATCATTGCTTTGCTTTCACTTCATGCCCGATCTATCATCAATTCATGTCATCAGTCCTAGGAAATAAGAGCTTGCATCAACCAGCCTTAGGCAGTGATCATGAGATTTCAATATAGAAATTAAAAGGAGCTCTCAGTCCGTAACAACTAAGGACTATAGTAAGACAGGTTGGTATGGAGAACATCCATAATTAATGTCACATTATAACCACTACTCCTCGGATGCTCATCGAGCAACCAAGTCAAAAAAAAATTTACAATTTTGACTAGACCATTTCTGTCGTGCTATGGGTAATTAATAATTCAAAACATTTTACATTGAGTAGTAGGCTAGACGACTACCAACTTAATCATCAAGAGAAGATATCCATCATAAGCACGTAAAATAGAATCAAACCTTGAGTTATTTGAAAATTGGTAGTTAAGCATCACAAGTTCACAACTTCATTTAAGACACCGCGTAAAAAAATACACATTTAAAACAATGACAGGCATAAACGATGTCCCAAACTAGTAGACTATGGAAGGATGCCTCTTATGTGTCTACAAGTTCCGAGGGATGAAATGATGATAAAACTAATCGGGACAGTGTAGCAACATTGCTATTGTGGTCGGTACGGCGGAATCGAATGGAATCAGGGAACGGAAAGGAAAATGAATGGAATGATTAACCAATATGTTTGTTTGAAGAACCGTGGAAATGGAACGGAATGAGAATTCTTATGATATATATGTTGTGGGAATGAAACTGAATGACAACTTTCTAATAGAAAAAGTTTAATGTAGATTGTACTTGCATCAATAGCAAAGACAATAGAACATTTATTGAATATAATTCGAACGATTTACTATTAATCATATAATTGGCCGATTAGAATATTATTAACCTCAATGAAAATAAATAATTACCACCTACAATTGAATAGTGTGGTAATCAATGTTCTTAAGTATAAGTCACAGTTATTAACTGTTGGGATAATAGAACAAATGGTCCATGAGCTTTTGTCCAATGTGCAATGTCATCCATGAACTTTTAATTTGTGCTATGTGGTCCCCAAACAATATGAAAATGTTTAAAAGTTTAGGGATCTCATTGAAAATTGGATCAAAATTCACGGACCACATTGAACAAATTAAAAGTTCAAAGATAACATTGCACAATTGATCAAAATTTATGGACCATGTGTGTCGTTTTTTCTTAACTATTTAATATTTGACATATCACTCATTTTATCAATAGCAATAATTTATAAGTAATTATAAAGATGACTATTTAGATATAGTTTATAATGCATTATTTATAAAATTTTGTTACTATCAAAATTCATAAAGAAATACCTAATGATATCTCTAATTATAATTATCATTAATCATTATATTGATTCACTATTAATAAGTAAGTGGGTGGGAGTAGAATCCCCGGGCTGTGATCTCTCGAATGACAATTCCAAAACTAGAAGGAATTCTCGTTCCATTGGAATTGGAGATTTCAAGTCCTAAAGTACCCCCCAAAACAATCGGAATGAGAATTATGACCATTTCATTCGCTTCGACTCTATCAAACCACATATAGCACAAGAGATCTTTTAGTGCTTATAATCTTGGTCAATAACAATTTTAGTTGCATTATAACAGCGTGTTTATTCGCATTGTAAGATGCCAATGGATAAGCAGGACGAAGCTACGTTATTATCGGCACAAAACTTCATCATCACACATTGATTTCTTGGTTTCAAAAGATTAGTAGTTTCCTCGTCAATAGCGGACCTAATAAGAATTTCGAGCAAATAAATTTTCGTGCCTAACTTTTCTTTTTGTGGTCACCCTAAAAAAAATAAGTAAAGGGACGTAAGGTTAAAGAGAAAGATTTTTTTTTTCTCTCTTTACAGAAACGAATTTTCTACGGCGGTTATACAAAAGAAAACGACGCATCGCATACTTTTTTCCCCCCCCCGAAAATCGACCCTCTCCAATTCGTCGACAACAATAATTCGACAGTCTGACGTGGCGGCCGCGGATTGGCTGGGAAGAGACAAATGTCAAACGCGAACCGGTGTCGGCGGTGGAAATTGATGTGGGGTGCGGTCTCGTGGGGGGGGAGGAGGTGGGTCAGATCCTGAATTTTACAGAGAAGAAAGACGAAGAGAAACTAATACCACCACCACCACCCTCCTTCCCTTTTGCAGAAGAGAGACAGCTAAGCAAAGATGCATGCGAGGTGGAGCTTATTTATTAAAGCTTTTTAGCTATGGTCGACGAGATAGAGATAGTGAGTGATAGATAGAGAGAGAGAGAGATAGAGATCAGTTCCGTTCCCATTGCATTTCCATGCACACGTCCTTCGTCTTTCTTCTTAGCTCTCCTTCTCCTTCGTCTTCTTCTTCTTCTTCTTCTTCTTCTTCTCTCTCCCCCACCGTCTGTTGCGAGATCTTGAGAAGAATTTGCAGGCACCGAGAGGTGAAGAGGACTCTGTGGGAGGTACCCTTTCATTCTCTCTCTGCCTCTCTCTTTCTCATTTGTCCGACTTCTTCATCGTCTTGTTCTGTTCTGTTCTGTTCTGTTCTGCACTCTTTTTTTTCCGCCGTACTTCCTGCGTCGTGCCCGACGTTTGCCGTTACGTGATACCCCTTTTCTGGTCCTTCTCATCGACACTTCATCGGTTTCCGTGTCCCTCGCAATCACATTCGCCAAGTGGGTTGACTGTCAGATCTGATCCAATGAGCCAGCAGGATTGAGATTGCCCAATGAGTTAGTACGTTGTTCAACATCGTCGGAACGCATCGTCCCTGCAAGTTTTAGCAAACTGGGGAGACATTGTGGAATTCGCGAATAGCCAGAATTAGCTTCTTGGTACAGCGGGCATTGGATTGCGTCGCATTTGGTTCTCCGATTGGATTGAATTTTTGTGATTCCGTTTGTTTTTTTCTTTCCTTTATGTTCATTTGTAGTTCTCTCCGCTAATTTCTCGTGTTCCTGCTAAAGCCTTTGCTGAATTCCACGGTGTGCTTGATGGGGATGGCTTGGAATTATGTGCCTTTTTTTGGCTATCTATTGCTTTTTTTTGCCGTGATTGGTGGGCTTTCATTAGGCCATTTAGCCGCTGATGTTCAGGGAGATAATGAACTGCTTGGTCGACAAAGACCATCGGATTTGCATGTTGGCATCAAACTTTTCTTGAATTTCAAGCAATGATTGAATTGCACAGCGAATTTCCATATTCATCTCTCTTTTGCTTTTCACGATTCGTGTGGAAAGACAGCCAAAAGAAAAAGGTTGATAGGAACATAAAGGTACTGACATGGAAAGTAACATCTCTTGTTAGGTGCTCTCAGATCCTGTGAGCAGAGTCTTTTCTACTTCTTTCTTTGTACGGCGTGTTGAGGGATCGATGATGTTAACTGTAAGATCTGCAGTGAAATGCGCGTTTTCTCCGATTTCTTGATGTTCTTTTCTCTGGCTAAATGCTGCCCACTTATTACTTTTGTACATTGGATAGTGATTGTGCAGTGTCGGGAATGTCTGCCAGTAAAATTGTGGGCTTCCAATCCTGCACTGCAATTTTTAGAAGCTTAAACTAGTTCTTGTACTGTTTAATATCTAGTTTTCTGATGATAAGTTATCGAAAATGAAATTTCGATAATACTAATTAAGGCCAGCTGTATTCAGTTTTTTTTTTTTTTGTGGGTGGGGGGGGGGGGGGGGGGTCGGAAGCTGTATTCAGTTTCAAACAAGAACATTTGGATAAGAAACTGGATCTATTTGGCCAGAAGCTTGTACTTGGGATTTAAGTCCCAGCTTATATAGAAGAAAGTGCTCACCTTGTCTCATAAAGTATCCATTTAGTGTAGTTTGGGATGAAGCATTGGAATTGAGATTCTATTTGTATAAAGACCTACCTTGACATGCAAGTAATGCTGCATCTGTGCAGGTAATTTTTAGACATCTGTGGCCATGAAGTACAAGGATAAGGATGGGAAACCATGGACGCAATCGGATAAGAAGGCCAGGGTCGTTCCCTTGACGATTTTGCTCGTCGTGCTATGTGGTATTTCCTTTTATTTAGGGGGAATTTTTTGCTCTTGGAAGGACAGATTCGAGTCTGTTGAAGTCCAAGATGTTGCGAAATCAGTCTCATCTCCTAAGGAATCAACAGCTTCCCCTCTACAGATTAAATCTGTTTCGTTCCCTGAATGCAGCAGTGACTACCAAGATTATACTCCATGCACCGATCCAAGGGTATCAATTAGTCTTTGCATCATGGTGATATTTTGTCGCATTGTCTTCTCGTCAAATTGATAGCTTATGATATATATTGCAGAGGTGGAAGAAGTACGGCACTCATCGCCTTACTTTCATGGAACGCCACTGCCCTCCAATTTTTGAAAGGAAGGAGTGTTTGGTTCCACCACCAGATGGTTACAAGCCACCCATCAGATGGCCGAAGAGCAGAGATCAGTGTTGGTACAGGTACTTTGATTTTCGATTCCATGCTTTGGGAAGGAAATAATTGGTTGACATGTGAATCTATATTGTCTAATTTTTTTCTCTTTCAATATGGCTGAAGAAATGTACCATATGACTGGATCAACAAGCAAAAATCCAACCAGAACTGGTTAAGGAAACAAGGGGACAAGTTCTTTTTTCCTGGTGGCGGTACTATGTTCCCGAGGGGTGTCAGCGCGTACGTTGACTTGATGCAAGATCTGATCCCCGAAATGACAGACGGGACCATCCGAACTGCCATAGATACTGGGTGTGGGGTAAGTCTGCACTGTTTTTCTTGTTTCAATGTGGAATAAGTTGTTTATTGGTGGATCATTAGTCTCTTATTGACTATTTCGGTACAATAATCATTCAATTCTGCACCATAGGAGAAATGTTACCTAAATTGTGGTTCCTCAGAGATTGTGTCCTTGATTACACAAATGGTAGACTTCTATTCTCGTTCTGTTTAGCTTAATATTTGTGGTTGTGCTTTCTAGGTTGCAAGCTGGGGAGGCGATCTGTTAGATCGTGGTATTCTTACCGTTTCTCTTGCGCCAAGAGATAATCACGAAGCTCAAGTCCAGTTTGCGTTGGAACGTGGAATTCCAGCTATACTTGGCATCATATCTACTCAACGTCTTCCTTTCCCTTCAAACTCATTTGATATGGCTCATTGCTCGAGATGCCTTATTCCATGGACAGAATTCGGTAAACTCCATATCCAAGATTGTATTTCGGATTGTATTGCTTGAGAGTACTTCCCCTTTTGTTGAGCCTTGGCCACAGAATTAGTGGAATTGTTAGGAAGCGCAATTGCTAGCTTACATCGCTAAACTCAACTTTGGACTGCAAGCTTAAAAACTTCATATCCAGATGCCAAACATCCTTTAACTTAATGTGTTCATTGTTGCCGCATTGCTGACCATCATGAGAACTTCCAGGTGGAATTTACATCCTAGAAGTGCACCGAATACTACGTCCTGGAGGATTCTGGGTCCTGTCCGGTCCACCTGTCAACTATGAAAACAGGTGGAGAGGATGGAACACGACAGTGGAAGAGCAGAAATCAGATTATGAGAAGTTGCAGGATTTGCTGTCTTCGATGTGCTTCAAATTGTACAGCAAAAAGGACGACATTGCTGTGTGGCAGAAATCTTCCGACAACACTTGCTATGATAAGCTTGCCGATCCTGATGCATACCCACCAAAATGTGATGATAGCCTCGAGCCGGATGCGGCTTGGTACACTCCACTTCGAACTTGTGTCGTGGTCCCGAACCTGAAGCTAAAGAAGTCAGCTCTGGGATCGTTACCTAAATGGCCTGACAGGTTGGGGGTTGCACCGGAACGTGTTTCAGACGTTCATGGCGCGAGCAGTAGTAGTGATTTTAAACATGATGATAGTAAATGGAAGGTGCGGATGAAGCATTACAAGAAGTTGCTTCCGGCTATTGGCACTGACAAGATAAGAAATGTCATGGACATGAATGCTGCCTATGGAGGTTTTGCTGCTGCTCTGATTGATTATCCATTGTGGGTCATGAATGTGGTCTCATCATATTCGGCGAACACGCTTGCTGTGGTTTATGATCGAGGGCTTATTGGAGCTTACCACGACTGGTATGTTCTGAAGCTGAGACATTCTTTGCAACCCATACTTAAAAATCGCATATTAGCTGTCTAACATGAATCGGTTTTGTGTTTTATATGACAGGTGTGAGGCCTTTTCGACATACCCTCGAACCTATGATCTTCTTCACCTTGATGGTCTTTTTACTGCAGAAAGCCACAGGTCCGCCCTCCTTGGAGATTTTTTCTTGATCTCTTCTCTTTCTGAAATTAATAAATTTTGTTGTTCATCGCTTAACCAGGCTGATCAGCTATAACTACAACAATTTAATCTATCAGCATTTCAAAATGGTCTGCGAAATATGATGAACAAATGATCTGTAGGATCTTGTCATTTCACAGTCTTGAGAATCTGTCAAACATTTAACTCGACATGACATATCTCTTCCTGCCAAAGCTATGCAGAGAGCTGATGAGCACTGTTTATCTTTTATGCGCTTACACCCCATACTTTTGCAGATGTGAGATGAAGTATGTGCTTCTGGAGATGGATCGGATCCTGCGTCCAGACGGTTATGCGATCATTCGGGAATCCAGCTACTTTGTGGATGGTATTGCGACACTAGCAAAGGGAATGAGATGGAGTTGCCGCAAAGAAGACACCGAATATGGAGTCGAGAAAGAGAAACTACTAATATGCCAAAAGAAACTCTGGTATTCATCTGACTCCAATTCAAGGTGAAGGTATCATGAAGTTTGATTGGAAGCAAATTGGCAATACTTCAATTAGGAGGGCCTGAGCGTTCTCACAAGGTTGAAGTGTTGAGGATATGAATCAATGCCATACACAGTATACAGTACACAGAGATTTAGATTATTCTTCTCACCGGTGAAGAACCCTTAACAGTCAAATTTTAAAGTCCAATAAATAGTCAACAAATCAATATTGTGATTTTGTTAATCTATAGTTGGCCCTTTACTATGGGAAATATATTTAAGAGGAATTTCGGCTTGTGTTTTTTGTCTTGCTAATTTTGCTCCCTTTTTATTTTCCCATCTTTTGATTCGCCGGTGAATAAATTTCCGTCCGCAATCGGAGGATAGTATAAACATGTGTAAAGGTTGAGAAATTCAACCTTATATAGCCTGTATGTTTTCAAGTACAATCAGTCATAAAATTTTATATTCCTTCATGAATTATGTTTATGTTGTCTATTTTGTTATGCTCTTCTTTATTGTAATACATCTCCTGGCTAGTTGATCTTCTGCCCCCTTTTTTCTCCCTTTTGTTTGGATGAGGAGTGTCTCAGTTTGTATATCCTTGAGATATTGTACCCCATCTTTACATAACTTAATATTCTTCCTCTTCCTCTTTCCTCTTTACCATCCTTTGATACACTATTTTAGATACATGGGATGTGAGGATAAGTAAAATTAGAAAAGGAAGTATGATGAATATCTTTTAGTTAAGGGTTGACTAATGGGTCGACCCAATTACAATTCCGTTCAAACCTAACTCAATCCACTCACTTATTGCCTGCTAGTGCATATATAAAATAGAGGAAGCAGGTCCCAAGGTGGTAGGGTATTCGCTCTATCCTCGAACTAGGGCTGTCAAATGGGGTAGGTCAGGTCGAAAACAGTCCAACCCATATTGACCCATTTATATGCTATACAAATTTAGTGACTTGTGCCCGACCCGACCCATTTACTAAAAAACTTTCATATTTAATCTAACCTATGAATAGCCGTATTCACCTAGTTAATCCACTTAAGATGTTAAAGAACTGACTTTCAACATTGCATAGATTTTTTTCATTTTTTAATATTGATTCACAATGAATAATAAGAGAAAGTTAGTACTTGGTAGTAAATTTATAAAAATTACAGCAACAAATAACGTGGATGAATTGAAATTTTAATTAAATGGAATGTGAGATATTGAAGAAGATGATTTATGTTGACCGTGGATTGCAATGACAAGAACTAATATTAGATAACAACGCCAAATGCAATCAAGGAAAGATATACTCAAATAACTAACAAAAGAAACTTATAAGATTAATAAAAACAAAAAAAAAGTAATGAGGGGCGGTCTTAATATTTTGAGATTGACCGGTATATGCCCCTGGTCAATGCTGAGACAGTGGGATAAGAGAAGCACTCGGTCGTATCTGCCCCAAAAAAGTGAAGCACTCATCAGATGAAAGGCAAAAGGCAAACATCATGTGCGGACAGTATGGTTTGATCTCTCGCTGTGATTGTAACGAGGTTTCAAAAAAAAAAACAGAATGGCAGATGAGGATGTTTTTTGAGCCTCTGGAATGTGTGTTACATTAGGTCATGCGCTTCATGCCAATCGTCTTCTAAGTGAATGGGTACAGAAGAGACTAATCTTCGGTATTAGCTCTTCTCAATTATCGAAATATCTTTGTGTAATGCCTTTTCTTTCTCATGTACCAGCTTTAGAAATTAATGGTTAAAGGATGGGAGTATTGATTGGCTTCATCATAGTTTGTATGAGGAGACAGGTGAAAGTTTTGGAATGATGATGTTGCATGCCAGAAAACTTCCCAGCACTGTGTACATCGTTTTTGACTTTCAATGATTCATAACATAGAATTTGAGGCTTCAATAAGAAGCTCCAACTTAGTATCCATTTTAACCCAGATACCACCATCTTTAGTACTGTCATTCTCATCTTGTCTGCTAAAAACCCAAATTGGAAGTGGAAGGTATATCAAGGCCATGTCTAGTTCCTCTATTTTGGGATTTTTGTCCCCTATCTCGCATCAAAGTTGATTATAGGAGACTACTAATCTCTGTTGCTAATAACATTATGGGCAAATCGACGCGTTATACTATGCCTTTGGGTTGTGGCAAACGAAAATTAGCGACGGAAACATCACATTCCTTGATGGATTAAAGAAATATGCATTGAAATACAAGGATGGCGAATCTGAGAATGGCTGCAGCGATAGACTTTCAATTAGTTAATACAATATAAGTACATGTCCAAGTCTCTATAGTTAATATCGACGGTTTTATCAGAAAAATTGGGGAAATTTGTTTAAAAGCCACTTGAAATTCAAGGGTTGAGATGAATAGGAAGAATTCCCGGTCACTGCTATAATATTTCGCCTTTTAGATGGTGGGTTAAAGTTATGGTTTAAATTATTCAAATACTTTCAACGATTTTCCATAACTAGCCCTTGATACGTCCATGACGTTAAAATGGGGTTGCCATAGATGCCATTAATTGAATAAGTGCAATTAATCTCAATGGGATGCGACTATAATTGGGCACACTCGTAAATATAGGAATCACTGATTAATAGTCGGCCACATTGTGGATAAAAATGTGATAAAAGCAATTAAGTTTTTGTTAAAAATAATATAGGGACTTAGTTTCGTGACAGCCATGTACTAAAATTAATTGTTCCCAAAAAGCAATAAGCATAATTCACTTTAGAAGCTTGTACATGTAGAAGCCACGTGTTAATAGCCAGTGAAAATCGAATCACCTGGAATCAATCAAAAACCCTAACCACATCCCCAGAGATCACCCCTTATCGTCGCATCGGTACATAATGGAATTAAGTTAACATAGATATGAACAGCTTATCACCCCCTCGTTGTTAGAAACACAATGGAAACTCGACAATAAACACTGGTGGTTAAGATACCCGGCCAGGCGAGAGAACATGCCAACATAAAGCAAGCGCAGTCAATTCATATATTATATAACCGAAGAAGCATTTGGTCAAATCATCAAACTCACAGAGCACAACCAGCGAAACATCTTTACTTTATTTGGATACCATCCACTGTTGAACACCCTAAAAAGAGCTAACCATCTTATCCTGTGACCTTCCGCGAAAAGGCACGCCCAGGTGGAATCTCGTTTGGCTTCCTGCGAAACATATCGCCAGGCTCACCACGCCATCCTCCGGCCTTCATAGGGTGCGGCACACGCGGTATGGCACCATCCTTTCGGGAACTGAGAGACATGTTTGCCATCTTTTGTGCTGCACCCACAACTGCACTTGCTGTTCCACCCTTGTTTATAGAGGCTGACATTTCAAGCGGCATCCAAAGTCAAGACTCAAAAAAAAAAACACCCGTTTATGGCAAGGCAACCTCACATCCATGTCATCATAGACAGCATGTCAAAGAAAACATCAGCATTTATTAGTTTATCGGTGATTATTGGACATACAACACCGTGCATTCTCAATAGCATGTCCGCCTATATTGATAAAACTCATGCTCACTCCTTACTGGACTAGCAAATGAAAAATACCAAGCAAAAGAAATCAAGTTTGCCTCTGAAAAATGCATGATAAGCGAAAGAACCAAAGAAGGAAAGGGCACCAAGAAAAATACTTACAAGGGCTGTTCTTCCCTGGTGGTCGATATTTTTGCTGTTTGATGAAGGTACTTGATGACTTGTTGTGATTTGCATCCTTCTAAACAAAAAAAAATAAAAGATGCTCAGATTTAAGTACAAATGAATCTGACTGACCAATATTCTTGGGACAATGTCTTTTTTAATATCGTAATTATCTACGTGTATCTTATGTTACAAAAGGGGGGAGAGAGAGAGAGAGAGAGAGAGAACATGGTTCAAAATTAACTTAAATATAACGAATGAACAAGAGCTACTTCTTCTTTACATTTTTCAGTGATCAGGCCTAGCTAAATGAAGCAAGTCTTAGTGGTCTCTTTAAGGTTGTCTGTACACACGTAGACTAAAAAAGGCCGTGCAGAACCCATGAATAAACCCCACAGGTAAAACTTAATAAGAGAGAGCCAAAGCATTTATCATCTCATAAGACTGCCTTTCCACTTCAGGAACTCTCAACCAGGGACACCGCCTTTAGCTTGATTGATTCTACATAAAAATTAAAACACAGGTAACAGACTCGCACCTCACTGCCCATGTTTAACTTCCTTTCAACACCTGCAATAACAAAGGCAATGAAATCAGATAATATATACTGTATCAGATCTAAACTAAAACAGAAGTGCATATTCATCTACATGAAAGATTGTTTATTCAAAACCGTTACGAGCAAAAATTCAGAGAACAAGCCTCCTAGAAATCAACTTTTTGTCCCTCTTTTATGGTAAGATAATAAACAACTACACGGATGGAAAGGAAAAAATAGATGAAACTGCCAGCATGTAAAAGGAGTTTTACATGACTTGAACAAGAGTCTTACATCAACACGGCTGATAATTGAAGCACAAGGATATTACCAAGTCCTACCATTCGAACAATTCACTGACAATGCCAAGCATCAAGCTATGCACGAACAGCTATGAGATTTAACTTTACATACCAAATGCACTAGAACCCCCTTGAGGCACTACTACCTAGTGGAACAAATATACGGAAGGCCAATTGCAGCTTTAAATTTGTTTCAAGTTCATGTTGTGTCAATAAATCCCATTGTTCAGTACCTACCTCACAGAACTCCATTTCGACTACAAAAATAGGAAAAGTTTCCCTCTAACATTTGAATGTCATTGAGAGATCTTGTATGAGTTCTAGTTTTTACCCTAATCTCCTGCATAAAAACTTATCATAGGGCCGTGAAACTAGAAAACCACAAAGATGGGCAAAGAAACAATAACAATCTTAGGTGGCAAAAATGCAATTTCTTTAAGCTTCATATATTTGAAAATCATAGCATTAACACACTGTTCTCTTCTGAGCCTGAATCAACACATAATATCATATGCAGGTGAACTGCAGTTGCTATACTCTATCTCATCATAACATTCCAGTCAAGAGGGCTAAATATAACTGACAAGTTATGCGACCTCTGATCACAGGCTGTTGTTTTGGTGATGAAAGGTTGCCAGAGAGCTTTGAATTGGCTACAACAGCTGTTCTTCTAGTATTTTGCTGCTGCAAAGGTGCTCTAGCTCCAACTGTGCCCATACAAGTAAATAACTCATGTACGGTGACAAAAGAGATATCCAAAGAGAACTTTCCTATCATGTCCAGTAAAATGATATTTTAGACAAAATAAAGAAAACCTGAAGGAGGTGTCCTCGGAACAGCTGCTCTCACACGAAGAGATGGTGGAACATAAAAGCAACTCTGGTACAAATACAAGTACACATAACAAAGAAGCCATAAGTTCAAAGATTGAAATTAATGCACATTATCTGATTTTTTTGAAGGAAAAAAAGGAAAAAAACAACTGTCACCTGAAAGAAAGGATGCTGCAATGCTTCAGCTGCTGTTGGCCTCTTGCAGGGATCCCATGAACAAAGTGACTGTCAATGAAACAAAAGCATGTTAAAGCGAATAGCAAACTAGATCAGTGACCAGTAAGGCTGCAAACTGTATTCTCTTCATAAAATACACACCGAAGGATAAACCAGCCAACTTCAGCTATTTAAAGCCATAATGCATTTCCGTAGTTTACAATTTGCTTACCTTTATAAGACTAATAGCATGTTCACTTGCAGGTGGTATCACCATAGAAAGATCAACACCAGAAAACTGCATCACAAAACTAATCCACCTCATAAATGCACACAAGAGAATATGATTATAAAAGGAAGCAGTAATCTAAAAACTTATTACCTGGGGGAACTGATAATTAATGGCCTTTGCAAGATGAAGACCTTCTGTCCAAGAGTCTCGGGTAGGACTACCTAATACACTGCATATTTTGTATATCTCATCTGCTTCACTGAAAGCATCACAGGTGAAGTGTCAATTACTTCTGCACTCGATACCAACTAGCGAGCAGAATCTAAAAGAGAGCAGTTGAGAAAGCTACAAAGCATACTAGTATGAACTATGTATAAATGGGCTCCATATACATCGTAATGAAGGAAGCAGAAAATTTTCAGACCAGAATAAATCCAATTGCATAGAGTTTTAAGAAGAAAGACCTACACAAGGACACATACCTGCTGCCTGGAAAAAGTGGACGCAGGTTGAACATTTCAGCCATGATGGCACCCATCGCCCACATATCTACACAAGCAAAGCAAAAAGAAAAGTTCGCCAATAATTATTACTCATAAGAACGTGTCTTTAAATAATCTAAGTAGACAGTTCATCGCCATTACACACTCACCAACTTTAGGACCATATGCAAATGACTGAAGCAAGACTTCGGGAGCTCGATACCTGTTTTTCATTTTATTAATTTTCGGGTAAAGACAACACAGCAGATTACAAAAAGAATGCTGATAATTGCTGAAATAATTTGAATTATAATAAGAGAGTTCATATCACTCACCAGCGTGTTGAGACATATTCAGTGTATGGTGGCCGTGAATTTACTTCACGAGCAAGGCCAAAATCAGCTATTTTAATTGTTTCTTTCGTAACTAACAAGTTTTCTGCAAGAGAGAGAGAGAGAGAGAGAGAGAGAGAGAGACTTAAAAGCTTAGGGATACCGAAAGATAAGATAGCAGGAAAAAACTATGTTATGGACCAGACATCTGCAACTCCATAAAATAAACCCCATTGCAGGTCATAATGATAGATGCACTAGACTTGTACATGTGCTGGAGATACAACAGAACATACAAAGGTAATTTAGCAAGCATCTCTTGCAGAAGGGGTTGGGAGGGAATGGGAGGGGCTATATTTTAGATGTAAGCCCAAATCTCAAGAAACTGTATCATAGACTTGGTAGACAAAGTAGGAAACCAACTTTTAGTGTCATGCTACTAACAGCTATAAAAAATAATCTACAAAATAGGAAAAGAACTATAAACGAAAGAAAAGCAATAAGGCAAAGAACTATATATGAAAGAAAAGCAGATGATTCCAAACTAGATTGAAAAGGTAACTCCCTAGGTACTAGCAAGTAGTTGCTCATGGTTCAGCAACTAGTTCTAAAGCTGATGTAGAACGTTTAGGGATGGTTAAGGGTTGAGGGAGATTTTCAATACATTGCATAGTTTCTGGGAAAGGCTGGTGTACTGCTTTATGTTAAACTATATAGACATAAGAAAATTTCTTCCGACATAAAAGTCCAGCTTGCCAAGATTATGCTGGTCTATACTTGTTTAGTTTTCCTCAGCGTGATTTAGTGTCTCCGCCCCAAATCCTTGTGAGTTACATATGAATTATTGCCACCCAACAAAGCCACATTAAAGAGTTTTTCCCTTAAAAGGAAAAAAGAACAACTTGCCTAGCTACTGAGCGATAGCACAGAATCATCAAGCTAACAATTCGACAGAAGATCTAGAGAGCATCTCCTGAAGTCAGAACACAGGGCATGTATTGAATATATGCTGATGAGAAGGCAACTACATCTATCTACAATACTAAAATACCAGGGATTCAGGACGATTCGACTCAAAGAAAGGTATGAATAGAATGACAACTACAAAGAGAGGTTCAGGGAATCAGTAATTAAATATCTAAAACTAGAATAATTTAATTTCTCAAACTAGAATTAGCCACCTTCCCTCGTTTGGCCATAAACCATGGGCTTTCTCTAATCATCATAAAGCTGATACTGAATCAAACATTAAATTTATGTTCTTAACTCAAGATTTGAAAAAATTACCTGGTTTAAGGTCACGGTGAAAGTACCCGCGCCGATGCATGTATGCAAGACCTTGAAATACTTGAAAGCACCAATTTCGGATTTCTGTTTCAGAAAAAAATATTTCTCTGTCTTTCATGAGCTGGTATAAGTTGAACTCCTGAAGCAGGAAGAATTAGTCAGCAATTATCTCGCAATTATGCCTAAAGTAGGACAAGCACTCACTCAATGAGAAGAAACACAAAAATGTACCATGTACTCAAACACGAAATATAAGATATCATTTTCCCGGATGACTTCCTTAAGCTTCACGATGTTTGGATGGTTCAACTTCCTCAATGACTGCCATAAAAAAGATATTCCAATTAATAACGGCATAGAAGTGTTGGATGAGTGGGTCAAAAGACAAGTACTATGCTGTAACACCTTCACTTCTCTCAAGTTTATGCACTCCTCCCATGAATAATATTTCTTCTTCATTTTCTTCACTGCAACCTGCATAAAGGAAATGGCGTGCTATACTGATTAGATAGCAGATCTCCAAACTACGTCTGCTATCAAAAAATACATTATAAACACACTTACAACTTCACCAGACAGCTTATTTATAGCTCGCCAAACACTTCCAAATGTTCCATCACCAACTTCTTTTATTAATTTGTACCTACAGCAACCGAAAACACATCATAAACAATCCACACATACAAGCATGTCAAAAATGAAGTGCGTGAAGAATGAAATTACCTCTCCATTCTTCCAGATGCGAAGCAACCGAAATAGATTAAGGCTCTTTCTTTATTCCAGAACGCAAAAATTAAACGAACTTCCCAGGAAGTATAACAATTACAAGCAGATGACACTTGATTAACTCTATATACTACAGATAAACACTGTTGCTCATCTAGCTGAATCCACCATTCGTACTGGAAGGCACAAGCCACAATTGTGCCACCTGAAGTACTCTGTCAGACAGATTTCCCAGCTTTATTAATTATTGAGCTGAAATGCTTGATACCCGTGACAATGCAATGGCAGAAAAGGACAGACACCTTCGAACATGCTGAACCGATGACACCCAACTAAAAGGATTGCCTCTCAATTGAGGGATACTGCATCTGGAAGTAGTATCCAAGAGCTCAACCACAGCGAGAGCTATCTCATCCACACAACCCCTTTGCAGATGTTCAATGACAAGTATCTGGTCAAACAAACCATCCTGCACTCTATAGGACTATCTTCTGTTCCAATACACCAACTTCCAGAAACGTTGCTCCCAAGAAGATATAGATTTTAGGTGCTGGATTCAGCCCTGTAAAGAAGAAATGGTGTTGCAAATGCAAAATGAGCACAGAATTCTACGAGGATATAGAATTAATATTTAGTATACAGAAGTGTCATGTCGTTCACCTATCATGACTTCTCTCAGAAATTTTCACATGAAGCTGAAATGGAAATGCACTGTCCAAATCAAAGTTGGTTAGAGAATATTTTCAGTCAGCACAATGGAAAAGAAGGAAGCGCCCCTTACCTGGTACAATGCACTGATGATCCGCCTCCTACGCTATAAAAACCTCGCATTATTCCTCTTCTACTATTCATCCAAAAAGCTGACAACTATGTGCAATTCACAAAGGATACCAGAAGAAAATCTCCAAGTACAAAAAACCGCCAATCAAGCATTTCCTGGAAAGAGAGAATCCAACACTTTGGGCGATTCAACCAAAACCGCAGCTGCTCCATATCTTATGAAATGAACACTGTTTTCAAATCCTATTGAGTGTAAACTGACACAAAGATTACAATGTTAGACCTTGAACCAAAGAAGTAGGACACATATTGTTAAATCAAGCTAGGTTGCATGATCTGTGGCAATAAGACAATATGCAAACAAGTACTAACATATACATTTTGAGAAGGTGATTCTCATCAAAGACTAGCTTAAACAAACTGATGCTACTGCCATTTTTTAAGTATGTGCCCAAATATTGACCCAAAAATGACGAAACAAGATCATCATTTCTTAAGCATATTAACAAGTTTCTTTTTATGGGGTCACAATATGTTAAATAAGGACAAAAAGAGAAACAGAGATCATAAACAACACTAGAAATTGGCATCCTATCAATTGCCAGGTCCCATGATTTCTTAAACAAGTCGCCATCCGATTCTGAAGCAAAAGTTTGTGTAATGTGTTTGCACCGGTGGGTATGCATGTGCAAACGTGCACACGTACATGCATTATTTTGTGATTCGAGAAAGTCAAGTGCTTTTACTTAAAATGGAAGCAGCAATAAAAGGTTGCAGCATCCCTGACGGCAAACAGAGAAAAACTCGCTTGCCACTTTTGCTACTTTTATGAGTCAAGATATTCCGAGCTGATCTACAACAATGACCCACTATTCTAAGCACAAAAAAGATGAAAATATACATAAAAGAGATAACTTCGGTTAAGCACCACGCGGAAACATGTTGTGTTAATATCAACAAAAAGATGTACACAAATGCGATCCAATTCCAAATGCTACGAATCAATACCAAATATCACAGCTTAAAGAAACTATTCGGAATCATCACTAGAAAACCTCTGCTAGTTTTCTTTGATCGTTAAAGAAAATGGTATTATCAGCACATACAAAACCATTAGGAACTAACGATATGTTCGGAGACAATTTTGAGGTGGAACGGAAAATGGGGGATTGAATTTGAGGATAATGAAATTGAAGGTAGAGATCGCTACTTTCTCTTTTGTTGCTTGGGAGAGATAAAATTTGGAAATGAAGAAAATGCGAGAGGAGTGCTCAACTTGTATAGAAAACCAAAGAAAATGGACGAAAGAAACTTTTCTTAGATGAAATAAGAATTAAGGACAACTATTTACAGCAACGAGAGTGTAGGGTCAAGTTGTAGGGTCAATTTGGTATTCTCAAAAAAGAGATTCGTAACTTGTTAGTACACAATCTTGTGTTGGATTGGGCTCAACTGAAACTCCAGCTGAAGCTCGAGCTGTCAAGGTGCAATGGAACAAAATATTAAGTTGTTCCGATCACACGCTCGCAAATCAGTCAATCGCGATTGCATGAAACTAAAACTTGAACTGTTTCGATACCCAAGCAACGCAAAGTCGCTCGGGCATTCGGCGAGTCAAGCTCGACTTTGAACTGATTTACCCTTAATAATCACTTAAAAGGGAGGAAAAGAATAAAAAAAAATGGAGTGACATGCAAACAGATGCAAACCAAAAGCAAACGCAGGTGATTCGAATTATGCATTTACAAAGCCCACAAAGCACGGCGACGGCACCAAACTAAAGAAATCGGGCAGAGCATTAACCATTGGCCCACATCCAAAACCCAAAGGATGTGAACCGATTCACTTCACATCAAAACCTTCAGGATTAGAAAATTTCCCAGGGGCATTACAGGCAAAGCCATCGATCTTAACCGCCAAATTCCTCTTAAGCAATTAGCAAGCCACCAAATCAGACCTCCACCCAATAGCTCGACCGGAGCGAAAATCCCGTCGCATCAATCGCCAACAAACGGAACCCTAGACCGCAGCAGGCCTTCCCCCAAACACCAATCCCGCACGAACGAAAACAAATATCCTCGGATCCGATCCGAGATCTCGCCGGATCTAACAAGGAAAGGCGCTCAATCGCCGGAAGCAGACCTCAAAAGGCACGGAGATCCGGCGATCCATCCTCCAGCCACACACACACATTTCCACATCGACGCGTGAACGCGACAAACTCCACGAGCTGCGATCGCCCGTATAGACAGACAGAGATAGAGATAGAGATAGAGAGAGATGGAGAGGGAGACCTGAGAGCCAAACGGCATGAATGACCGTCGCCGAGGACGGGAAAAGAGACGAGAGATGCTTCCTTCCCCGTCGCTCGAGCAATGTTTCGAGAGGGCAATCCGGTCGCCGTCCGATCTGGCCTGCGTGCGAGAAGCGAACACGAGAGGGGGTCGCTTCGCTGGTGCGCGTGCGTTTATATAGCCTTTATTACCCCATTTTGATTTCTCCCCTTTTTTTTTTGTTTTTTTTTTTTCGGGGTACTGGTGGCGGGACCGGTGGAGGGACGGAACGGAACCCCATATGATGCCTTCATTATTTTCCTGGGGGCATTTATTCTCCCCCCTCACAACAAATGAAAAGCAGTAAACGTGGGAGTTGGGATTTTGATGCCCCGTGCCGGTGCCTAAAGTAAAAGGCAAGATATCATCCGTCCATCGATTCCGTTGGCCCGATACCGTCGGACCGAAAGAAAGGAATGATTAGATTAGATTAGATTAGATTAGATTAGATTGTTGCGTGGATTATTACTCTAACGTACGCTTAAAGGATTCCGTTAACAAGTATCCTCAAAATGACCGTTCACGGTAAGACTGCAATCGTATGTATAATCAATACCTTGAAAATAGAAATATATCGATGGCGTTCAATAAATGCTTCAGGAACCATATGGAAACAAGAACCGTTTTTCTTTCAATTCCACCGTTCGCAACCGGTGCCGGTGGCGATGGAGCTTCAGGGAAAATCGCTTTTTGTAGTTGAGTTTTGATAGGTGAATTCTGTATTTTCTTAAAGAGAGAAGCAAAGTGGCTTGATTGCGATATGTAAGCGAAGCGGCGCTCGATTTCTCTTTATGAATCTATTTGTTTCGTGGGAAATAAATGATTTAGAAAGTATATTACAAAAAATGATCGCTTGTATGCTATAAATAATTAGTTAATCAAACATGTTTTCATTATCGACGGTAATTTATATTTAAACAATTTCGTGTACTGTTAAAATATTTCTCATTTATTCATATTTGTATGCAATTAAGGCTACAAATTATTTATTTTTCGCGAAATAAATGAAATCTAAATTCCGCCATTTTAGTTCTCAAATGACACGCCATTTGAATTACAAGGTTTGAAAAGACTAGACTTGGAAATTCGGAGCGCAAAACCATTTTAAAAGGGCAAATACGGAAAATTAGAGGGTGAAATGTGTAGCTTTTTTTGTAAGTCATTTTTATAAATCGTTGGATCTTAAAAATTAGATAACATAAAAAGGGTAGATTTAAAGGCAAAGAGAGAGGGAGAGACTCGTGAATCTTGGGATTCGCAAAAAGAACAATAAAAATAGCCGAGAAAAATCAATGCCTCCTTCAATTCGCACGATATATACTCGAAAAAATCCATAGAAAATATTTATTTACGATATGGCCTCAATGGGGGCAGCCTCTTCTAGGCTCGAATTGAATATGTCTATTTGATAACATTATCGGTTACAATTCAACACATGCCACGTAATAAATCAAATTTATAGACTTGTATTAACCTCAAATGGGGTAAAATGAAATCGAGTGGGGCGGTGATTTATTAACCTGGCAATGTATGGTTTACACTTTGATGATGGTGATAACGGGCGGTCGTGAGCCGATGGTGGGGCCGAGGGTGGGTCCATCCATCACGTGGCCACTTGGCAGCTAGTATGGAGGCCCATGACCTAATTTGTAATGCCTGCTTGCGTACCAAATCCGGGCCACCCGTCCTCTTTCACCGATTCTTCGTACGCTTCGATGATGGTTGCGCCCCCCCACCCCACCACCCACAAATCATTGACCGCAATAATACAGACCATCTAGAGTTACTTTTGAATCAAATGCTATGATGTGTTGTGCTTGTACGTCGCCTATTAAAATCGGGGCAAAAACCACCAAAAACCCTAATTGATATCCAATACGATACTATCATAAACTTTTTCTTATGACATAAAAACTCAAATTTGTGATTGTATGACACATTTAGCTTCGGTCAAAGTTATGTTTTAAAACAACTCGTGATTCTACTAGTGGTCAAAGTTCTATTAAAAATCTGCTCCTGTGAATGTCATAAAGCAAACGGTGCTAACATAACTTTAGTGAAATAAAACGACGCTGTTGTAGCTGAAAAATCATCTAACATTACCTTGACGGAGGAGAGTAAATGTGTACCATAGATACAAGTTTAGGGTCAATATGTCATAATGAGTATAATTTGTGATTTTATAGCTTTTTCGATTAAAACTACGACTCTATTTGTTTCGCGAATAATGTATGATTTTGAGCACATTTTCCTTAAGATGATCGCTGGTATCATTGAAATAATTAGTTAATGAATAATGTCTTCATTATCGATAACAATTTATGTCTAAACATTTTCATGGACAATGAAAATTTGTCCATCCGTTCATTTTTTTTAAACAATACAAGCGATTATTTTTTAGAAAGTGTTTTTTAAATCATTTACTTTTCGTAAAACAAACGCACCCTACATTATTGGTCTAAAATGGTTTGTGTCCATGTCGCAGCCAATTGTTTACAGAACCTGTTTACTCTCTACAAAAGCTCCTTTTCTTTTTTTCGGTATTTATTCTATACTATGTGTATTTTGGTGTTGAGAAATTCACTTATTAAGTTCAAATTGGATAGACTGTGATGATATATGATATGTATGATGTTGCAGTTCGAACTCGAATTCGGGACAAAATATACGAATAATAAAATAAACATATATAGATAGGGACGCATATAAATGAGATTTTTATTTTCGGAAGGCTTTTTCCAACTATAGTGTTTTAGGCAACCAACCAAATAATTGCTAGAAAGGGCGAATTTCCAATTGTTGTTGTGTCGCCATCTAAATGATGATATATATCCTTTGAAGGTACGAATTGTGCAGGTTGTGGGATATCACACTGTAATAATTAACTAGCCAACCCCTGGATCGATCCCAGTTATATATCGTGCTTGAGTTGACGTGGGATTGATCTCGGTTTCAATGTCGTGTTATTCCTTATTGATCATATTATCATTTACTGATGTGAAGCTTTTAGACAAGAAATTGTAATTATAAATGGTGCTCCCTCGCCGTGTTTTAATGTATGTCCGATGTTACGATTCTGTAAATAACACGTAATATACGGATGCATCTTGAGTATTTGTCATTGTACGATGTCTCGTGATACATTAAGTAAATCGAGTCGTTTCCCTTCTATTTCATGTTACTTCAAACGTGCCGTGATCTCTTGGTGAATGCATAGCTGTGCAGATCCTTGAATCGGGCTGCAATATTTCGTGCGAAGGTATGTCATCTTTGCACCTTATTGTGTAATCTAGGTAACGCATGATAAGTAATGCGTTTCTCACCGGGGGCATATTCATTGGCTGCGTATGTCTATTTTGCACATTTACGTAGTTGTTGTCATTTACTTTTATGTAACATGGATTGATTAAAATTATTTTAGTCTAGATATACAAGTTTGTTCTTTAATGCTTGTTTGTTTCACCGAAAACTTTGACATTTTTAGAAAAATATTTTCTAAAAAATCATTTTCTAGGAAAATGACGATATTATATGGTATAGAGCTGAGATCTTAAAATGAATTGAAAATTATTTTCCTTCGTTTGGAAAGAAAAATCTACTTTTATTTCAATAAAATAAACATGCGCTATTCTAGCGGTAGTCATTAGTAGTAGGGAAATCGGGCATGGGCACTAAGGCCTCTATAAACCGAGGCTCGAATCCATCATAGTTGGCCCTAGTTCATGGAGATCGGGCCGAGAATCCCGGTGCCTGTGCTCGGATCCATTGCGGCCAAGCCTAGGACACCGACACCTAGGCCCCAATTCATGGAGGCCAAGCCCGGGACCTGTAGTGCACGTGCTCAAGTTCGTGACGCCCGAGCCCATGTCCATCGAGGCATGGCCCAATCCTCATCAATGGACCCAGGCTCGAGCACCGAGGACACGAGTCTGAGCGTCAAAAACCCGGGCACGAGTATTGGGGACCTAGCTCGGTCTCCATAAACCCTAGCCCTAGCATCAGGGCATGGGCACCAACGTCATGGACCTGCCCTTGATGGATCTAGGCCTAGGCATCGGAGAGCCGAGTATGGGCACTGAAGTCCCGAGCTCAGCCTCTATGGATATGGATAAGGGCACTGAAGTGAGGAGCCCAATCTCCTTAAACCTAAGCCTAGTCTCGTTGGACTCGGGCCTAGCACTGGCCTTTAAACCCGTACTCGCTGCCAAGAATTCGGAGAGGGGCATTAGGGTTCCTACGCCCAAGCGCAGAGTTTGGGATCCAAGTGTTATCTAGTAATATTTTGGAAAAGTGATTCTTGATTTTAGAAAGAGAAAATCGTTTTCTTAAAAAAAAATTTGTCGTACATTTTCTTAAAATTAAGTATAGATTTTTTGTTGATCAGAATAAATTTTTTTCCGTTGACTCATTTTCCCAAGCATAAAAAAAAATTTGCGAAACCAATGAAACCTAAATTTATACTAGAATTAGGATGCTTTTGGCAATCATTCTGTTCTCGAAAACTGATTCTACTAAAAAATGATTCTTTTTTATTCCGTGCCCGGGAACAAATTCTAAGCATTTGAAGGCGTTTGGTAACTGTCCAAAATTTATATTATTGGAATAGAAAAAGAATAAAAATGTGTTTGATAACTGCACAAAATTTCTTTTTATTAATAATATTTTAAATTTTTTAATATTTCTTTCTTTTTTTTTCTTCCCCTTCCCCTTCCCCTTCCTTGGCCATGGCCGGGTCCCCGGCGCCGGCGACTGGCCACAGGCCAGGGTCGACAAGGGCGTCGCGGCCCTCGTCGCCTGGGCAAGGGTCGTGTGATATCCGGAAATTTCGTAATAATAAGTAATTGACGTTGGGAATTTTCTATGTTCGAAGATGATATTTGGATTATAAAGCTAAGTATTATTTAACTTAATATTCGTGTGGACGCGTAAAAATCGTTGTTGGATTGTAAATCGCGAAGCGCGGATTCGGAAACGTACTCGCCCCGAGCTCGTCGTAATTAATATCTTAAACGTTGTTGTGTGCGATAATCGTAGTACGGTATTAATTAATTTACCGTTGTTTTGGGAATTTAGTGAGCATTATTATTATTGGTTAATTTTGGATAAGTA